AAACTCCACTCAATGGAATCATAAGCCTTTTTTAAATCCACCTTGATCATACATCTAGGAGAAACATGCTTCCTAGTATTATCAGAGATATGCCTGTCAGGAATGAAACCAGTTTGGCAATCACTTACAATACAACCAATCACCAATTAAAGCCTAGCTGTTAAAATCTTTGCAATGATTTTATATATAACTAAGAAACAAGCAATGGGCCTAAAGTCTTTAATCTTAGTGGGATTAGGGACTTTAGGAACCAAAGTAACAGAAGTACAATTAACTTGCTTGAGATTTGCTTCTTAGCAAAGAAATCCTTGATAGCCAAACAAATGTCATGTTTCATAACACCCCAAGTTTTCTTAAAGAAGAAAGCATTTAGACCATCAAGGCCATGAGCTTTCTTTCCATCAATACCCATCAAGGCATTCTCAATTTCAGCATCAGTAATAGGACTGCAGAGAAAAGCTCTTTGATTAGAAGAAAGCCTAGGATGGACCGGATCTCATAATAGGAAGGTTGATCATAGGAAGGGAGGGAGCAGCAGACCCAAGAAGACCACCATAAAGTCTGATAGCTTCATGTTGAATATCATCATGACTTGTAAGCTTCATATTCTGATCATTATAAAGAATAGAGATTCTGTTAATTCTATTTCTTTCTTTGACAGAAGAATAAAAAAATTGATGATTAGAATCTCCAATCTGCAACCTCTAAATTCTAGACTTTTGTCTCAAAGCAGACTCATTAATATTCAACCATTTTTTCAGCACCGCAACTTTAGCACTTTCTTGCAGCAGAAGAGAGGCATCAGAATAGTTAAACTGTAATTGGGTTTGAATATCATGCAAATCATTTCTAGCAAGATCAATTTTCTCATGAATACCCTTGAATTCCTCATTATGTAAGACTTTGAGCTTCCTTTTATCATTTTCAATCTTGACCAGACAGAAAACATAAGAGTACCCTTGATTTCAGCATTCCAACAGTCCTCAATAAAAAGGCATAAAGCTCTGATGATCAGCTAAAAAGTCAAAGAATTTGAAAGGTCTCCCACCTCCAGTAGCATTCTCAATACAAGACAGTAAGATTGGACTGTGATCAGAAGTAGAAGGATTCAAATATTCAGCAACAACATCAGTTTTTGTCATCATCCAATCAGAATTCCCTAAACACCAATCAATCCTGCTAGCAGTATTATGGTTTCCACCACCCTAATGTCAAGAGAAATAATGACCAATACTGTTAAGAACAGTAAGACCATAAACAGCAACAAAATCAGAGAAATCCAGAATTTCATGAAAAGAGACAGCAGAACCATTTATTCTATCAGTAAGGTTCAACATGGTATTGAAATCACCAGAAATCAACCAAGCATGGGTGCCCACGGAGTCAGAGATGCTGCCCAAATCAGACCACAAACTCTTCCTAGTATCAATAGAATGCAAGCCATAAATAGCAAAAAAGAAAAAAGAATGCGCAGCATCATGATCAGTGATCTCACAATGAGCCACTTGAGTAGAAACAGAGCAAACAGAGACAGTCACAAAGTTAGGTTGCCAGCCTAACCAGATTATACCCCTATCACAACAAGTATAATTCATTTCCCATTGCCAATGCCTCCCAAACTTCTTAATATATTTACTACAGTTATGAGGTTTTATTCTAGTTTCAAATAAAGCAATTACTTTAATATTATGAGTATTAATCAAATTCCTAACCTCAATTTATCAATGCTAATTGAATTAGGAATGAAAAGAACTTTCTAGAAGAATCTAGAAGACTAAAACCATTCCTAATTGCATTAGGAATGATAAATCTATATTAGGCCCTCCTCTAGATCATTGGGCCGCATATAAGGCTCAAACCAGGCCCAGTTCAGTAATTTGGCCATAACTTCCTCAACATTCTTCGGAATTGGGCTTATAATATATCGTTGGAAAGCTCTTTTCAAGCCCCATCCAACTACACTACTATTGGACCCATATCATGGACCAACCAAACTGGATTGACTGTTTTCTTAAAATAGGTTTTCAAAAAACAGAGAGAAGAGAAAAGAAATTAAAACTATTCGCAACACTAAACTTTCCACACTTTCACTTCATTCGATTATGATTCGACGTAAAAGGTACTCATCACCGGGTTTGGTTTTGGGGAGACACAAATGGGTGTCTACAAGTATATACAAAGCCAACATTATATGTGATTAAAATTATACACCTTTGATAACTTCTCTTTCAAATCCACTGCAAATATTTGCAAAATTTGATAAACTTTCCGATCAAACATAACAAAACTGGCAGTTCCACTATCAACCTCTACTATTATTGTAAGTTTATACCTGTAGAAAATGTTATTGGAACATGACATAAGTTGTGTTTTTTTATAATAAATCCTAATAAAAATTTAATATCAATTGTAATTCAATAATATAACACTAATTACCTTGGTGGTGCAGATTTGACGTGTGAGTCACATTTTTTGCACCAATATTTTCCACCACCTTCATAGTCAACCTTTTTTGTTACAATTCTTGCATGAGTTTTAATACCACTTGTTATCATATTCGATAGCAATAATAGTAGCATAAGTCACACAAAAACATTCCTATGTAAAAAAAATATTAAAATTTTTTAATAATTTATTATAATGTCAATATAATTTCCATCAGAAAATTTTGAATTATAAAACTTATATGGTTTACCTCATTAGTCTAACAAATCTCGTCTAGTTGCTTTCGTTCATTCAAATTTAAGAACTCATCTGATATTTGTTGGGCCCGTATTAATATATGACCCAGTATTCTTAGGGCACCATTCCATGTTCAAGGAATTTAGCAAGACAAGCAAAGCAGCTTGATTGGAATAAACAAGGAAAGCAAGATCAAGAATATCAATCAAGAGGATACTTGCCAAAAATACACCTACAAAACAGGGAATGGAATAAATCAAGAAGATCTTCTACATTTTGAATATATCCTGGATATCTATGTAACCCTAGGAGTTCCTAGGTATAAATAGGAAAAGTTAGACATTATAACACTCATGTACGCTCACACATAATTCAATATAAGCTAATTGTTCTACTTTTGTCTACGGATCTGTGTCCCTGCTGAACAAGGAGGCTTGTCCTTACTCAGTATTATATCTCTAAACTTATCTCTTTGATCTTATTGAATACTTATTGCTTGCCTACTAGTTATTTATTTCTTTATTATCGTTCTTAGTTGCTTTACATATTATTGGTGGAATGATTGTTATTTCCCCTCAAAACCTAGCAAATTCTTAGATGTTCTAGTTGAGATTTGCCTATTTGCCTAAACAATTTGGCGCCCACCGTGGGGCTGATAATCAATTAACCTACCAATTCGCCAAAAAAATCAAAACAAACACCATGACTGGACAAACAACACCCTTTACCATTGCCGAAATCAATAAAGGAATGAACGCATTCCGTCAAACCTTAGACCAGCAGAAAAGCCAAATCGAAACATTGTTGGCCCAAAAAGTTCAAACCGAAGCCAAACACACCAGTCTCACCAAACAAAATGAAGCCCTCCGCAGCCAAATACAATTAGTTGCATCCAAGACCGTTAACACCAGAAAGAGTACCAAAAGTATAGCCATGCAGCTTGACATGTCCGGAACCTTTCACACCCCTAAAGGGGAAAAAGGATCTAACAGCAGGGAAAAGCCCCTGGACCTAGATTTTTTAGATGCAGGAACCCTCAAGAAGAACAGGCAGGAAGGAACCGAAGAGGGAAAAATAGAAAAGGTGGTTAAGGAGTACCTCGAAGCATTTGAGGCCAAGATCGCCAAGATTCCTGGAATGCCAAAACCCATGGAAAAGAAGCAGCAGATGGCTATATAGAATCTCCCTTCTCAGAAGAGATCGCCATGGTGGAAGTGCCAAAGAGGTTCAGCACGCCCAACACGGCTATGTATGACGGAACAACAGATCCTGATGAACACGTGTCCCTCTACAAGCAGAAGATGATGACAAGCTCAATCCCTAGAGACATCACAGAGGCAATCATGTGCAAAGGCTTTGGAGCCACATTGTCAGGTCCAGCCCTAACTTGGTTCATTAATTTAGATAATGGGACAATTCGATCTTTTGCAAGAATGGTGAATCTATTCAAGATCCAGTTTGCTAGTAGTAGAAAAATCGAGAAGCAGTCTTCAGATTTGTACTGTGTTGTGCAAAGACACGATGAATCCTTGAGGGACTATCTTAACAGGTTCAACAGGGAGAAGATTGGGATACACAAATGTTATGCTCCTACAACTATCGAAGCAATTCAGAAGAGGGTTGCTAGACCATAGTGAGCTCTACAAAGAGTTGACCAAATATCCATGTACGACCTTCGAGGATGTGCAAGCCAAAGCTATGGCTCAAGTCAGGTTTGAAGAGGATGCCTATGCAAGAAAGACCCCCGATCCGGATCGCCAATCAAGAAGGAGCAACATCTTTCCCAGAAGAGACCATCGATTCAAGCCGTATCAGCGTTCTCGCTTTGATGAAGGATCAGTCAATGTTGTCGAAGGAGAATTCTCCGACTGGAGGGAAGATCCTGAACTCCCACCTAAATTACATGAATATTGTTTCAATGTTAACCCTGGAGGAGTAATTAGGACCCTGAATAAGATGGGAGATACCATACAATGGCCTAGAAAGAGCGATAGGCCTGGAGAGAAGAAAGATCCGTCAAGATGGTGTGACTTCCATTCAGATATTGGCCATACAACCGATGAATGTGTCGCACTCAGAAAGGAGGTTGCTTACCTGTTGAAGAAGGGGTATCTCAAAGAGCTTATGTCAGATAGATCCAAAGTTCCAGGAAGTAAAGAGAATCAAATCAAGGAGGCCCCCCACCTCCTCCTTCAATTGTCAAAACCATCTGTTTCATATCAAGAGGGTCAGAAGTGTGCGGTTTAACATACTCAGCAGTGAAGCGACATGCAAAGGAAAGTAATAAGGATCAGCCTGATAAAAAGGAAAAGTAAAAAATGGATATTCCCATCATGTTTGAAGAAAGCGATGTAGTAGAAGGCCATCATGACGGTCTAGTAATTTCACTCCCAGTTGGAAACTGTATGATCAAGCGAATCCTAGTTGACAACGGAAGCTCTGCAAACATCATCATGCTTGATACCGTGAAACATATGACCATCGACGAGAAGAACATCATCAACAAGTCAACAATGCTGGTAGGATTCAGTGGGGAAACCAAGAAAACAAGTGGAGAGATGACATTAGCCACCTACTCAAAAGGAATCAACTTACAAGTCAAGTTCCTGGTGATCGGCACTTTGTCATCATACAATATGATTCTAGGCAGACCATGGATACATGAGATGAAGGCCATCCCTTCCACGTACCATCAAGTTATTAAATTCCCTACCAGGTGGGGTATTCAGGAAATCAGAGGAGATCCTAAAGAAGCCAAAGAATGTTACAAGATCGCACTAAAAGAAACATCTGCAAAAAAGAGTTCAGCATAGCAATCAGAGGGTCAGCTGGGCCAAGAGAAATTGAGCATAGCAGAAGAACAAGAAGCCACAGAAGTCTAGTTGAACCCCAACCATCCATATCAAAAGGTCAGAATAGGATCAGAATTGAATCCAGGTCTTCGTTAGCAAATCTATGATTTCTTAGAAGAAGAAAAGGATGCGTTTGCTTGGACCCACGAAGACATGAAAGGCATCCCCCCAGATGTGATCACTCACAGACTGAACGTAGACCCAATGCACACGCCAGTAAAATAAAAGAGAAGGAAATTTGCGCCAGAAAGGAACAAGATCATCAATGAGGAAATTCAAAACCTGTTGAAGATAGGAAAGATCAGAGAGGTAAAGTACCTAGAATGGCTTGCTAACGTGGTAGTAGTCAGAAAGAAGAACATAAAATGGCGAATCTGTATTGACTTCACCGATATCAACAAGGCATGTCCAAAGGATCTGTTCCCTTTACCTCACACTGATGCCATGGTAGACGCAACAGCAGGGCACGAGCTGTTATCCTTCATGGACGCATACAGTGGGTATAATCAAATCCTCATGCACAAGGATGACCAAGAGAAAACCGCCTTCATCACTAGTCAAGGAATCTATTGCTATAAGGTAATTCCCTTTGGATTGAAGAACGCAAGAGCGACATATCAAAGTTGGTGAACAAGATGTTTGAGGAACAAATCGGAAACACAATAGAGGTCTACATAGACGACATGGTAGTTAAATCCAAGAAGGCGGATGATCACGTCAGAGACCTTAGAGAAGCCTTTGCCATCCTGAAGCAGTACAACATGAAGCTAAACCCCACAAAGTGCAAATTCGGAGTACAGTCAGGAAAGTTCCTAGGGTACATGGTTACACAAAGAGGAATAGAAGCCAGCCCAGACCAAGTCAAAGCCATCCTGGACCTAGTACGACCAAAGTCAAAGAACCATTTACAGAGCTTAACAGGGAAAATTGAAGCACTAAACAGGTTCATCTGGAAATCTTCAAACAACAACAGAGCCTTCTATGAAGTCCTGAAGAAGAACAAGGAATTCAAATGGGAACAAGAGCACGATGAAGCATCTCATAAGCTAAAGGAATACTTGGCCAACCCGTTGATTCTCTCTAAACCTAAAGAAGGGGAGCCCCTCTAATTGTACCTCGCAGTATCTGAAGGGACGATCAGTGCAGTCCTCACAAGAGAAGAAGACAAAGAGCAATTTCCAATCTACTACATAAGCAAAACCTTACTCAGTGCGGAAACGAGGTACGCATCCTTGGAGAAAATTATTTTAGCTTTAGTTACTACCTCAATAAAACTACGCCCATACTTTGAAAGCCATTATATACGAGTACGAACCAACTATCCCATCAAAGCCATCATGAGAAAGCCAGAAATGTCAAGAAGGATGGAGAAATGGGCCCTACATCTGAGCAGGTACGATATACAATACGAGCCCATAACTGCAATCAAATCACAGGAAGACTTTGTAGCAGACTTCAGCCCAGCCCTTGAGGAAGAAGCACAAAAAGAAGTATTGGCATTACAGGAACCAAAGGCTACACAGAAGTGGACACTCCATACAGATGGCGCAGCAAACATACGCGGTGTAGGCCTAGGAGTAGTACTGACATCACCGCAAGGAGTCAAAATAGCACAGGTAGTAAGGTGCAACTTCAAGGCCACCAACAATGAAGCCGAGTACGAAGCACTAATCACAGGGTTAATTGTCGCAAGTGATATGAAGATACAACACCTAGAGGTAATCTCAAATTCCTTACTCATGGTAAATCAAATCAATGGGGAATACGCAGCAAAGGACACCAGGATGATAGCTTACCTAGAAGTCACAAGGAAGCTCATTAAGGAGTTTAAGGAATTTAAGATAGACCAGGTACCCAGAAATTTGAACACTGAAGCAGACGTCCTGGCAAACTTGGGGTCAAATATTAACCCAGAAGAATTTGGAGCTATCCCCCTAGTACACGTACTCTCTCCAGCCATAGAGAAAGAATCAACTATGAACGTCTACGAAGTTCAATCAGACTTTGCAAGGAAGGAAGACAGTAGCTGGACAAAACCACTGAAAGAGTACCTCTTAGACAAAACAGTACCAACAAGGAAAGGAAAGTGGCAGCTCAAGCACTCGCTCTAAAAGCCTCAAAGTATTGCCTAATCAGCAACGTACTCTTCAAGAAGTCTGTAGCAGGTCCCTTCTTACGATGCTTAGAAAAGGAGGAAGCACAACAGGTCCTACAGTCCCTACACAGCGGTGAGTGCGGAAATTATTCAGGAGGGAGAAACTTAGCCAACAGAGCACTCAGAATGGGATACTACTTGTAGGGGATAGATTTAAAGCGTTAACCCCTTAGCTTGAACCCCACTGTGATCATACACTAAAGTACGGTGGCGTCCAAAAGGGAAGAAGATAGAGCAAAAGAGTCGCCAACAAGTTTTAGGAACTTGTAAACCATTCACAGGGTGAAGGTTACACCCCTTAACGATCCAAGAGATCGTCAACTCCATAAGGTCTAGAACCAAATAAGGGTTCGGGGATGAAGGTACAAATCCAACCTAAAAGAGATTGAACCTGCCCTAATAATAGGCCTCTACTTTATTCTGATCGTATTCATGTGCGCTTTCTGACAAACATGCAATCAATAGGTCTAACCCTAAACCTGTTTAGTCTATGTTAATTGAATATTAATGCACAAATAAAACTATTATTGGCGATCACTTGAATTATAATCATATTAACCCTAACAAGATTATTAATTATCTTATTAAGCGTGATTACAAGTATAAATTCCCTTTAAACATGCATAAAAGGTGTGATCAAGCAATAAAAATAAATAATATCAAGCAACACAATAATAATAAATATCATGACAATAAAATTATAATCATCATAATAATAATCATAAAAATAATAATCATAATAATAATCGTCATAAATAAAATAATAATCATCAAAATAATAATAATAATAATAATATTCATAATCATCATAAATTATAATCATTATAATCATAATCATGTTCATGTTAAAGCATAATAAAAATAGCAAGATCTTAGGCATGATACTAACAAGATTAATTGCAAATTCTAGCATGTCACTAAGCATTAAAAATCAAATCTTTAGCCCTAACATGATACTAACATGAATAAATATTAGGAAGAACATAGGAGGCATCGTAACAATCATATTTAAAATTACCCTAGACATGATACTAGGAATATCATAATAACAATATCAACATGATATCTACATCATAATATCAATAAAAACCATAAAGCACTTATTTTGATGCTTCGTACCTCTTTCTAATAACAAAATACACACGTTAGTAACTTCAAGGAAAATAATAATCAAAACAATTAAATTAAATAATTGAAATAGAGATTTGGGACCAAACCCTCAGAAATTAAAACCTTTCACGTCTAGGGCGAAGGCAACTTCGAACATTGCTAGGTGTTTCTAGATCTTGCGAATGCGGAATTTTGTATGTAAAAGACTAGTTCAGAAAAAAAAAAACAAAAAAAAAAAAAAAGAGAGATGGTGAATGATTAAGGAAGAGAATGAGAGAATTAATGAAAACTGATTGTAGGTGAATGTAGATGAGAATCGGTGAATTGAAATAAGAATTGATGAAATCTGGTTCTCAAAAACGGAGTTTTACGACATTATTTATAGAGAAATCAGCCAAAAAAGATAAAATAAACAAAACAGAGTCTGGCGCACGCAAAACGAGATCGGCGCCAGCCATTGGCTATTGGCGCCAGGCGCCAATGGCTAGCGCCAGGCGCCAAGCCTAGCTCCTGGCGCCAATGCTTGGAGTCAGGCGCCAGGCTTGTTTTTGACGCGTTTTCGAAAATCAGATAAGTTTTGCCGTTCAGGAGGATAAAATCGTATATTTTCCTCGAAAATGCTCTTTGATTTTAATTAAAACTCTGAAAAGTCAACAAAAGTCAATTTATCAATGCTAATTGAATTAGGAATGAAAAGAACCTTCTAGAAGAATCTAGAAGACAAAAACCATTCCTAATTGCATTAGGAATGATAAATCTTATTGGGCCCTCCCCTAGATCATTGGGCCGCATATAAAGCTCAAACCGGGCCTAGTTTAGTAAATTGGCCATAACTTCCTCAATATTCATCGGAATTGGGCTTATAATATATCGCTGGAAAGGTCTTGTCAAGCCCCATCCAACTACACTACTATTGGACCCATATCGTGGACCAACCAAACTAGATTGGCTGTTTTCTTAAAATAAGTTTTCAAAAACAGAGAGAAGAGAAAAGAAATTAAAACTATCCGCAACACTAAACTTTCCACACTTTCGCTTCATTCGATTATGATTCGATGCGAAAGGTACTCATCACCGGGTTTGGTTTTGGGGAGACATAAATGGGTGTCTACAGAAGCCCCCCACTTTGACTGAGTTTGGAGAAACGCAAGTTTCGAAAACGAAAGTCAAAGTAGCGATAGGGACGGAGAATGATTCAGAACGTTCTGCGATCCTAAATCACTCTTGTAATGTCGATACCTGCAAACTAGCGTTAGTTAAACAGATAAAAGAGTTAAGAAACGCGTATCTTGCACCGTCGAGCACACGTCTCTAAAAGTAACCGATTTGCTGCTGCTTTACTATTGTTTTGATGACCTCCTGCAAGCTAGATAATGCCATCCCGCTGGAAAACCGCTACGCCTGTAACTGCTTCCAAATTAGAAGATTGCTTCACCTGAAACGATCCTCTTCCGCTTTGATAATATTCCACATCCAAGGGAATACCATCGAAGATTGCTTCTCTCAAAACAATCCTTATCCTTCTTGAATCATAGTGACAACCTTTCCAATCATAGAAAAAGTCGTCGAAGACCGCCTCATCATGAACCGCTCTTCTCATATCTTGGTGACAACCTCCACAATCTTAGCGAACGCCGTCGAAGACCGCCCATCTCGTGCTATCTTCTCAAATCTTGGGTGACAACCTCCACAATCTTAGCGAATGTCATCGAAGACTGCCCATCTTGGCTATCTCCTCAAATCTTGGGTGACAACCTCCACAATCTTAGCGAGTGCCGTCGAAGACCGCCCATCTTGTGCTATCTCCTCAAATCTTTGGTGACAACTTCCACAATCTTAGTGAATGTCATCTTGCTATTTCGATGTTCACTCGTCTCTGAACAAAGAGCTTCGCTTTTTTTGTTATGTCCATGCGTCTCTGAACAATAGAGCTTTTGATGGAAATGTTCACGCGTCTCTGAACAAAAGAGATTCAATACTTGAACGTTTGTTGCGATAATATTCTGAAGAAGAAATTTTCGAAGACCAACGTTTGTGGATCTCTAAAGCTCGCCTGAACTTTGCTTCCTCTAAAACCAGTATGTCGGTGTTTTCGTGATGAGCCTATTCTTAGGCACTTTAAGCTAAGTAAGACGATCTTTCATCAGGTCGACCACTTATTGTGATTGTAATCAAACTGACTACTTAATCATGTCAAATTGCTTATAGGGGCTAACTGGCGTACCAAGGAACCCAAAATTGTTGTATGAGGCCTCGAGCTCTGTCGTTGCTGAGATATCTTTAGCGCCAAGAATTGGAGTAGGGTCTTCCCTATTCTACTGCACCTGTATTTATTTTTTACTATAGAACTTTGCCAATCTCTTTAATTATCTTAGGGTTGACCTAAGGTTTAGCGTTGCTTGACTCATTGACTTTGATACGACTCGAGGTATAAACTTGACTCTCTGTGATTGACTCGAGGTTGACTCGACTCGAAGTGAAATGACACGTGTGACTCGTGACCCGTGTGTGCATTGTAATGTGATCGTGCGACTCAAAAATGCAGAAAGCAAAAATTTTCCGTCATTTTTGTGGAGGGTACCGACTTTCTCCCAAAAAAGAAAGACGTGAAAAAAGAATCGAAAGTTTTTGAAGATGCATGTTGAATGAGCTTAGCCAAATGTCGTTTGATACTATCTCTCAAGGTGCAAGGATTAATCCATCCTAGGCTATCTCAACTGTTGACTCCATGAGGAAAGTATTTGGGTAACTTAGGCACGGAGGCTAAGCACTTCATACTTCGTGATGCAATGACAATTATGACTGACGAGTGGTTTTGATATGATAAGGCATGCTTCAGCATTGTGTTAAGATTCCATGACAAAGGGTTCCTAAGGGAAGTATATTTGGTCATGTATGTGTGCAGTGTGTGATAGTGATTCTAAAGCTAGGCCACAAGAGCTAAGTGTGTGGAGAAAATATTGAAAAGAGTCAAATGGTGGTGACTCTTAGGCTATGTAAGCTAATTTAAATATGAATTTTGACTTAACAAGTGACTTATTACATGAGATTGTGAATTTTTTTCACCTTGAACACTAAAAAAATATAAAAAATGTATTAGTTTCAATTAAATTAGAAAATAATTATAATGTACAAAATGATAAACAATGTCTAATACCTTTGTTCTTGCACCTCAGGTATATCCACATTATTGATGAATAATGTTGTCGCCCATAATGAATTTGATATAGAAACTTCATCTAGAAAAGTTATGATCATGGTAATTTGATTAATACAATTATTAATTTTAGACGAAGAATTACTTATCATAATTTAAATATATAAATATGTATGATAAAATATCACCTCTAAAACTCTTAATCTAGCAAATTGTAGTACTACAACTATGGGTCCTTGGATGTCATCTTTAGTAGGTGAGTCCGAAGGTTGTTCAGCATATTTTCCATACAATGTACCAGTCAACTTGTTTTTGCTACAAAATACAAGATAATTGTAATTGAAGTCAACACATAAAAAAGAGTTTTAATATTTAAAATTCCATTATATAAGTTAGTGCCTTATATGTATAATAACAAAAATCAATAATGTCAAGTATATAGGCTAATTCGAATTGATGAATTTCTTACTGCAGGTCTTCTAGCTCAATTGTCAATTTGTTATTTGGGGTATCAGTTTTTGAAATATTGATAAGATCATCCATGCCGGTAAGCTCTCCAATAACATCTATAATTATTTATAAAAATTATTAGTTGATAATTTTATAAAATACGAAATAAAAAATGGTTAATAAATTGATATAATGTATCGTACCTACTAAAATCACCTCATTGATATGTTGTTTAAGGATTTTGTCGAATGACACAAAATCAAATCTGTATTGAGGAAGTTGTGCATCTTCACAATCCCTAACAATAGTCCTATAATAGAAGTTCACTTTATAGGCATGGGCCAAATGTTTGCCAGCATTAGTAATCATTCCGAAGCTAGAGATAATACGGGAAGTGCCCTTTTTCACAAGACCTTCAAATCGTCGAATGAGTGATTCTTCGATAGTTGCTTGTAAATTAGATCCCTGTGTTTAAAAATTATCATATCAAAATCAATTTCGCACTATAATTTATGAGTAAACATATTACAAAAAGTAAACACATCTAAAAGACGAAAATTTTATGAACCTATAATAGTATACCTTCTCATCAACTAAAATTAACTCAAGTGAGTTAATTTTTTTTATATTGGAATAGTCAGGTTGGTACCATAGCCTCACAATACGAGCTTTTATTCTCCATGATTCTTTAAGAGGGGTAAGGTCAGATATCATAGTGAACGCCATTAACAATATATTAACCACGATAATATGACCTTGAAATAAAAATTGTTACGATTTATATGACTAATATTATGACTATTATTTATATAGTTGATAATACAAATAATATTGCATCCGATTTTATTATTTGAATATATATGATTTGATTTTAATATGTTAACTATATTTTATTTTTGCCGTTTTTCAATCCAAATATGTAACAGAATATAATAATTAGTATAAATGTATTTTTATTGTAAATTAGTTATAGTTATTTATGCTTAGTGTATATTTGTCTTCCATTAATTGTAGGAAATTAAGCCTACTTTATAGCTTACCATATGTAGCTTACAGTGTATATAATGCATTTGATAAACTTGTTAATATTTGAGGAATTATCTTCTTTAAGAAATTTGAGGATATTCAAAGTATATTATTCTAATATTATATATAGGAAATTTACTTATGGTAATTTGCAATTGATTATATATATAATATCCTTAGAAATAAGAAATCTTCGATACATAAAATTGGGAAATAAATTAAAAAATTTATAAAAAAATCTAGTGTAACTTAAGACATAAGATAATATTCTACAAAATATCTTAGTATACTCTGTACTATTTTATTTCTTTTGACAGGTACTATCATACCATAGTCACTTACATGCTAGATGTTATGTGTGTGTGTGTTTTTTTTATATAGTTTCCCTCCGTTTTTAAATACTTGCTCCATTTATCTTGGACACGCATATCGATGCTAATCTTTGATCACTAATATCTTTAATTATCAATAAGTATAAATTCTAACAATTGAAAATTAATAATCTATTCATTGAGATGATTCCGACAATACCCACAAGACTATATTTTTTCTTATGTATAAATCACAAACATTAGTCAAAGTAGGACAAATGAATAGGGCAAAAAATAGAAATGGAGCAAATATTTAAAAACGGAGGGAGTATGATATTAAAAAATTGATTCCATGAGATTTTTTGTTGATTTATGTATTTATTTAATTTTTTTTTTGAAACAATTTATGTATTTATTTAGAATAAGATGTATAGAATTTTTAAAAAATTAATAAAAGAAAGCGAATCATAATGAGACATTTGTCAATTTCACGTTGAGGCGCTTGTCTTTTATTATAGTATTATATGTATAAATCACAAATATTAGTCAAAGTAGGACAAATGAATAGTGCAAAAAATAGAAATGGAACAAGTATTTAAAAATGGAGGGAGTATGATATTAAAAAATTGATTCCATGAGATTTTTTGTTAATTTATGTATTTATTTATTTATTTATTGAAACAATTTATGTATTTATTTAGAATAAGATGTATAGAATTTTTTAAAAATTAATAAAAGACAGCGAATCATAATGAGACATTTGTCAATCTCACGTTGAGATAGATAGATAGATAGATAGATAGATAGATAGATAGATAAATAGGAGAGAGAGAGTGTGATGGTAAACTTTTTTTTACACATGGGTGGGATAATTTTTGAAGAAAGTATATTATATTGTGGTATATATAGCGTGGAGAAGTGAGAAAGTGGTAGAGAGAGAGGAATGATATAAATTTTTATACCATGAGTGATGATGGTTTTAACAAACGAATATTATTATTAAACTGAGGGGTTTTGGTTTCTTTCTATACTCCAACTTACGGAGTAAAAAACATGAAATTCAAAGGATTTTTTTGTTTTTTTTTTTTAAATTCAAAGGTTGGAGTGGCGTGTTGGTGCACCCTGCAGGCTGCAGATTACAGACTACATACTACAGGTTTACAGCAGAGCATCATCAATTCAGCAGTACGTAGACTGTACGGATTAGATAAGTCCAAAAAGCCTAAAATCTTTTCCAATTTCAACTAACACAATATTTATGCTTTCAAAAAAAAAAAAAATATTTCTCCCCACACATTAACCGTTAACCTTTCATCACATCAATATCGACGGCCATAAATCCATACCATTTACTACGGTCTATCTTAAGTAAGTAGACCGTTCACACTGAATAACTCACTCTGTAGTCAATTAACCGTCTATATAAAGCAACTTTCAGTCTCCTTCTCTTCAACCTCGCTCCACCATTTCATTTACAAACCCTAGCTGTGCATAGCTACTCTCTCTCCAACCTTAGCCGATTCAGGTTCCCTTCATTTTCTCTCTCTTCATCTTTTAGGATATTTTGCTTAAGAATTCATGTAAAATACTGTTTTATTAATAATTTGCGTCTTTTTTCTACGATTACGTAAATGTTGTTGTAAGTTATTGCCGAATTGTTTGATAATTTTCTTTTGTTTTGATGCTTGTTTATGATGTTTTTCTGAGTGTTATATTATTCTACTTTTTTTTCTCTATATAATCATTTTCGTCTGTTTTGAAGTATGTTTATCATGCATTTGTGTGAATGTGTGATCACCTTTTTTTTTTTAATATTAAATTATGTGGATTCTGTTTAAAATCGATGAATCCAATGGTTAAGGATTTGTACAATGATGCTATTATGAGATTCTGCCTCAAATTCTTTTGATGTAATGCATGTTATTCAACAGAAAAATATAACTATGATTTTATCCGATTTGCTGTTGCGATTAACTACTTGTCTATTTATTCTCCATTTATTTAGCGTATTTTTGGATGTTAATTTTTATGATCTTTGTTGTTATATAGATGTCACATTACTCAGTTTACATTTGGTTGTATTGACGTAACTGTGGGTGACTAGTGTTGCTTTATCTGGTACTCAGTAATTGTTTGTTTTTGAAATGTATGAATTAGTCTGTGAAAATAAGGATCTGAATATTTCATATTTTGTGCTTTCTTATTTAATGAGTCGATTTGATGTTGCGTGTTACTCGCCCGGAATAAATTGTCACATTGAGTTTTTGAAGCAATGTTGGTAAATGTTTGATGAAATAAGTATGTACTCCGTGTAGAATTGATCTTATTTTTGTTTGATATTGTTAGTCATAGTACTCGTAGAGCGTGTTATACTCCATTTGTCACTCATTGTATTTGTATATTATGTTTGGTTGGCCTACAACATGTTCCATAAGACCAATAGTACGTACTCAGATCATAGATTCATAGAGCGTGATACACTCCAATTGTCAAATTTGATCATTGTTAACAAATCTTCCTGTTTGCTACATGGTTTAATCGTTAACTCGACTTCTTGTTGAATGTTAGGCGCAAGGGTTTTTATCTTATTATTCCGTACCCTGTTTGGTTTTCACAGAATTGGAGAGCTTGTCAATAAAAAATTTAGTACATACAACGAGTAACTTGAATTACATGATTGCAGATGGTTGTTTACGAGTGAAAAGTAATTAGGGAAGTTAATTTGAATACTTGAGTATGAGTTTGAAGCCACCTCTATCTGTGCTAAACTGCTAATGCTTAATGCTTCAATGATTTCCTTGTGTGATGCTTTCTTTGATTTTTAAATTTCACTTATTCTAATAATCCTGTTACGCTCTTGCAGGAAATGTCGAACCAGAATACTCACTACGTGGGGACAATTGGGTTGATATATTCACCGAATGACAATACCACTGTCAGCACAAAACAGAGCGGAGCTAGTACTGGAAACTATGAGATGACCACCAGGAGCAACAACTACGACAAGCAGAGTGGCAGCTACTTGCGCCAGACTGCTAAGGAGTCGTACTCAAGTGGGGATTACTCTAACAGGGGGAAAACCGGATACAAGGCTGAGTACAAGACTAGCTCAACTGTGAAGGTTGGCGACAAAGGAGGTTACACTGAGTACTACAAGCAGGAGAAGGTCACTAGGGTGAACTATGACAGTGGCAGCAACTCTGGAGGTAGCAAGGGCAACTACAACTATGGTGGTGGTGGCAACAAGTATCTTTACTAATGGCGCTCTCTAGGCTCGTAGGTTCCTCGTCAGGAAAATAAATCAATTTAGGAATTTGATGCTCTAATGTAGCTGATCCAAATACTATCGTCTAGCAATGGTTGATTTGGATATTTGATGTTATTATGCAGTTTTAACTTTGAAGTGAAACTAGAATTGGCTCTTTTGGTCTTTAAAACTTAAAAGTAATGGAGGTAGGAAATTAAATGTTTGAAGCTTATGGTTTATATTAAGCTTTTTGGCTGCCTCTTGTTTATATGATACGATTAGATTTTAATGCAAACTTTGATGGTTTTAACTTTTACAGCAAGAATGGCATTAAAGTCTTTTTAGATGTACACCTCAACTCCCTCATGAGATATTTAGTTGTAAACGAGAGACTAGTTCTTGCAGGTGAATCTTATTGGTGAAAAAAACTTAAAAATAAGGCTCTCGTATTTATTGGCAAGGGGGAGAGCTCGGGAGGTGAACTTTTATGTTAAGTGGATGACCCATCCACTATTTTGGCTAATGTAGTCATGTGAATTGTGGAAGATAGTGTTTCGGTTGAAAACAATGGGACCTTGCCGAAGGTCCACTGAAATGGAGAAGACTGGATTCGATCCAAGCTGTGTTGGGCCGAAGGTTTCCTGCACAGTGAACACACGTAAACTAGCCTCGGGGGTGTTTCCGAGGAAGGCCCCTCCGATGCTAAAGTCAGTACAATGTGTAAAAAGGAAGACACTATGCAAGAGAGTTTGTAGCTTGAGGCTTTTGTGGAATATTTCTGAATGCAAGAATGAGCATATGAATTGGAATAATCTGTGTATGAGATAATGTATGTGATCTCCCCTTGAATGTGTTAATATGAGGGCTTTTATACCTCATCATACTTGGAGAGGTTGGGCTTTAGCCCAATTGGCTTACTTTGTGGGCTGACTTTTGACTTTTGAGCAATTGGAGAGTTGAACCTTGACCTTGGGCTTTTAATTGGATCATTTAGTGCTCAGGCCCAATTTTGACTAAATTGGACCCAAACAACTTGCCCCCCAGACCCGATTTGGAAGAATGACGGGTCGGGTTTGATTTAACTCAGAAAAGGAGGGAAGTAAATGATTTAATTGATCCAAAAATTTGAATTTAAACCGTAATTAATGAGATAACAACGGTTAATGATTTGCGGAAGTTGGACGGATAATGGGCGGTTTAATCACAAGACATGTGTTTAATGGTTACTTAGTGGGTACTTAAGAGAAATTAAAGCACAGACTCTTCGTATCCCGTACCTGGAGATATAAACAGAGGCGCGTCATTCTCCTCACTTATTCACCAACACAAACCCAGAATTCTTCGAGAGAGAAACCAAGAACCCGCATCAAAACTTCGCAAATTCCCCCGAGCATTGAGCTTAGAAACTGAGACTTGCCACTACGAACTCGTAAATCGGCAACTTTCGCTTCAGATTAAGGTAAATTCCTTTGATTTCAGTTTATTTTTCTTCGAATTCGAACTCCTTCCCCTTTTCTTTCGACTTTTCTCTTCGAAATAATCCATGGCAAGAGGAGTTAGAGGTAGAGCCCGTGCTCCAAGAAGAGCAAGGCCGATTCCCGATCCTAGGAATAGGATTGGGACCTGGAATGGTCAAAGGCCGGAGTCTGACCCTGCTGAAGGGATTAGGGCGACTCCCCTTTCCTCGGCTCCTCCTCAAAGAACGGATGAGCCGAGTGCTTCTGGACGGGACGATGAAATTCCCGCTGTCCTTTGGGATATCCTCCCTGGGTTTTCAGAGTGGGAGAATGCCGAAGTCGCTTCGGCCATGATAAAGAACCGCCCCTACTCATGGTGGGTAGAGAACGCCGATCAATATCGATTTGCTGAGCAAATTGAGTTGCACTACGGCATTTTTGAAGCTGATGGATATTGGTGCCGAATGCCCTCAGCATCCGATAGAATCCATCGCCCACCCCCGGGGTATGTGGGGGTGTACACGAGACAGCTTCAGTATGGGCTGAGGTTCCCTTTGGACGTTTTCGTCCGAGACTTGCTGATCCATTACAACATTTCCCTATGTCAGCTAACCCCCACCAGCATCCGAAGGGTGATGACATACTTATGGGTCTGCAAGTTCTTCAAATACGTGCCGAACCTGCACTGCTTCAGAAAGCTCCATCGGCTAGTGCCAAATATTCAGAGTGGGCACGGAAGCCATGGTTCTGGGTGGTATCGGATTGAGTCCCGGCCCCAATACTTGACCATGTGGCCAAATGACTCTTCAGACAAGGACTGGAGAGGTCAATGGATTTGGGTTAGGGCACCCATAGATCCGGGCCACCCTTGCGTCTTCAGCGCTCCCCGGTACTTAGCTGAGCCTGATCCCGAAATGGGAAGTCTAGGTCCCCCCGCAGATAACGGGGCGGATCCGAACCTGGATCAGCAACATATCTTCGGCAAGCTGCCGAACCCGGGGGGGAGTGGTCGAATGCAGCATATCCCGGAGACTTGGCTCCCCGATACGCATTACGTTTTCCAAGAGAATATGCTAGCAGCTGTTGGCCTCAGCCGAAAGTTTAAGGATGGTAAGCTTCTTCGGCTGGGGCCGAGGCTTTTAACTACCTCTTTTTCTTCTCTCGCTTTGCTTTTTTATGCTGTGCCAACATATCTGAGCTAAACTTTTTCCCTTTCCTTTTTTCAGAGCGGGACGAGACCAACGTTGGTATTAACTACACTCGTCTTGGTGTTAACCGAGAGCGAGTTGTAACTGAACGGGCCCCGTCTATCACTGAGCCGAGGCATAGGGAAGTTCATCTGGACTCTTCCCACTTCCAAATTGAGGCTGTTGCTCTGTATCAGAGGCAGAAGCCTTGGTGGAAGAAGAGAGACCCTTGGTTTCAGCTGCTGAACGAAGAAGCTGAAGCTGCCCGCACAGCCGAAGAGGTTGCACGGGTACTTGAGGCTTGCGAAGGAGGAGAAGGGTCCTCCAGAGCTGCTGAAGCCGAAGCTGCAGCTAGAGCAGCTGAAGAAGACGAGGCTTTGCTGAAAACCTCGGTGAGCTTTCAGACAACTTTTTTCTTTTCTTCTTTTTTCTTTTTTTTTTTTTTTTTTTTTTTTTTTTTTTTTTTACTCACATTCTTCTTCCCCCCTGTCTGTTACAGTCTGAAGAGAGTAACAGACACAGAGAAGGAAAAGCTCCTGTTCGTCCCGAAGACCAAATACAAGAGTCTTCAGACTCAGATATGGACGAGCAGCCCCTTCTGAAAAGGCGCCGAAGGATGGCCATCATCGGCCCTCATGATTTTCAGCAGAGGCCGATGACCATCGGCGTCGCAATAAGGGAACCTGAGGAAGGCAATGGATCGCCGAGGGTTCCCCAGCCAACACCCCAATCTCCTCAAAAGACCCCTCCGCCACCTCCTGAGATGGAGGTGGATCAGAGAACTCCCGAACCTAAGGGAGGGGTCCAAGAAGAAATCAAGAAGAGTGCTGCTGAGCACGAAAATAAAGATGCCGTGATGTCCAGTGCTGAGGGCTTCGCGGCAGATATCGCCAGAGAGGTTGAGGCTTTCGTCCTCACCCCTGAAGAAGAGGAGGTCATAGTACTTGACTCCTCTGAGAAGGATGATGCTGAGACAACCAAAGCTAATCAAGCTCCATCGTCGTCCTTCCCTTCTTTCCAGACTCTGCATTCTGGAGAAATGGGTTTCTCGGCCCCCCGAATTCCAATGCCAGATCACATCTGGGACCTCATATGGGGTCAAAACCGAGAAGGAGCTGAAGCCTACTTCGGCAGTTTTGCTGGCATGTCCGAAGTAGACAGGGCAAGGATCTGGTCGCTGAAGGCCACTGCTGGGATGGGCGAATCCAGTAGATCAGTTCCTGACCCAGCCAGGTCTAACCAACTGCTGATGATGCAGGTAATTTTCCTTCATTTCCTCCGAAATTCAGCTCTATTTTTTTCTTATTACTTATTTTTTTTTTTTTTTGTCTTCCTGTTTTCAGTTCGTGCACAATCAGACTCTCACTGTAGAGCTGATTGATACCCTACAAGATAGGGTAGACGCTGCTGTGCACGAAAGGAAGGTGGCTGAAGAGGAAGTTAAGCTTGCTAAGCTGAAGCAAGCAGCAGCTGAAGAGAAGCAGCAGGAGGTTGAGGAGTACGGTAAAAAAGCTGCCGAAGCTCTGAAAACCTTCTGCGATGCTATGGAGATGGAGGTTTTTCCCCCACTGATGGAAGGGGAAAAATTCCTCCAGGAGCATATGGGAGTGGACGTCTCCAAATTCAAGGCTGCCGTTGAGAGCCGAATTCAAGAAGGAACTGCTGCACAAGCTGAAGTGCAGCAGCGTCTAGAGGCTCTTGAAGCCAGCCGAATGGCTGCTGAAGAGTTGCTCCTGGCCAAAGACGTCCAACTCTCAGAGGCTGCTGCTGCTGCTGAAGCTCAAAGAGCTAAGTTCCAAAAGGCTGAGGATCAACTGCTGATCCAGAAAGTTGAAGTGGCCCAGGCTCAGACAAAGGCTTCCCAAATTCAGCAAGAGCTGAATGAGCTGAAAGGCTCCTCCTCCCAAGTCGCTGATGAGCTGAAGAAATCCAAGGAAGACTTGGAGGAGACCCAGAAGAAGCTGGCTGATGCTGAGGCTTTACTCAAGGTCCGTGTTTATACCCAAGAGGAATATGAGATGGGTTTCAGAAACGGATTCCGAGTATGCCGAAGAGTCTGCCTTCATGCTGAGCCGAAGCTGGACTGGTCTAAATGTGTTGAGTGGGTCCAGAATCCCGAAGACCCTCACATGAAGTTTGCAACTCCAGCTGAAGCTGAAATTCTTAAGGCTGAGGAAGCCGAAGAGGAAGCTGAAAGACTGGAGTTGGAAGCTGAGCAGAGGGAAAGGGAGGCTCGGCAAAGTGCAAAGCCCGCCTCTTCTGCTGCTGGGGCTGAGGCCACCATGGGACTCAACGCTGATCAGTCTGATCCCCCGGCTGAAGCATAGGAACTCGGGCAGTCGTCTTCAGAATCTTGCGGTTCATCATGTGCTTAACTTTAGACTTGCCGCTTTCTGAGTTTTTTGCCTTGTTTTTTGCTTCAGCTTGCCTTGTCGTACAACAGTTTTATTTTTTTGCTTATGTACGTATTTCGGCAGCTGTTATTTTCCGCTTGTGGGCGGCTGCCGATACTGAATTATTGAACTTGTAGCTCAATTTTTTTTCTTCAGTTGCTTTATTTTTGAATGCTTTACTGTTTCTTTT